GAAAGGAACAACTATTGTTGCGAAAATAATATGAGAGTGGCACTTGCAAAGGTGAAGCCGCGCATTCCTGAAATTGTCACACTTCGGCAACAACAAAAGCCACATTGATTTGCAATGAATATTCATTTTGCTTTTTGTTTATGTGCTAAATTTATGTTGTGTATGTTTTTTCTTTCGACAAAGTGATTTCGTGTGCAAATGACGCATGGTACAGTTTATGCAGTTATACAGTATATAGTTATATATATATACCATAGACATATGTTTTGAATTAAAAAAAAAATATTTTATTTTCCACCTTCGAAGGGTTCGACTTTCAATGCGCAGTTGCTGCATTAATGGCATTGATGTCAAGGAGTCCGTTACTAAATTGGGTTCTCCAAGTTTAATATGAGTCAGTTCAGATTTTAATATGAGTCAGTTCAACAACAGTTGTATGTCCGAAAGTTGTTCAAGTAAATAAATATTTAGATTCAACTTGAAAGTTCCCCAAAACCTAGACATTTATTTCTTTTGAAACGACCAAAATACTGTTCCAATTTCACAATTGTCAGTTCAGCCATTTTTGAAATATAATTAAAATAAATAATTTTTCAACTTCAACTTCAGCCTAGTCCGTTCATTCATTTCCCAAATGCCTATTCCGGTTGGGAATTCAAATGATTCAACACCAACTATTACCTCACTCGAGGATTTCATTCGCTTCTCAACTGTGCAGTTGCTGCAAGAATTACATAGTTGTTAGTTCAACTAATTCAGAATATGCGTTTACCGGTGATAACTACAATGATTCAGCACCTAATATCACCTAATTTTAGGAATTCATTCACTTCCTAACAGCGCATTTCATTATGAGAAATAGACAAAAGAACGGACGATACCTAAAATAACAATACTAAGCAATAAACAGAGTAAATGAATTTCAGACTACTATATTTTACAATTTTATTACGGTCAAATGAGTCAGAGAAGTGCATCACTATTTGGACAGCGATTGACTCACCTATAAGTAGGTCATCCAGACCCACCCATTTCTCTCAGTGCAAATATCAGGCATAATAAAAAAAAATTCACATCTCAAAAGTGTATAATGAAACATTTCTTAGAAAGAAAATACTCATAACTTATTCCGCACCTCGTGACGAAGTGTAATGCATTAAGGACAATTACGAGATTAAAAACTATTGACAGTCGCGATACATTACTTGGCTCGTTATTATCATTCCCATAAATCATTCATCACCTACGTTACAATGACGAATTAAACGGTGAATTATTTCTCTCCTCTCTCTGTTAATTCATTGTGTAATTACGAGAGAAATTAGGAGTTTAGGTCACTTTACATCCAGTAGAATTCTTCTTAAAAGACACCCAACTGCATGACGAGATGCAGAAATGAATGAATTTTGAGATCTGCTCAAAAAAGTTGAGATTCGTCTTTCATGTGAAAACGATGATTTTTGGGTCAATTTGTTTCTTGTAGAATTATCTGAATATAATTCCGTGCAAGATACACAATTTTAATCGTATAAATGAAGTCCAATGAAAATTATGTAAAAAATTCTCACAAAAAATATGAAAAATGAATTGGAATTTCACTTAGAACCAAAATGCAAAACCTATTGGCAGATTTAAATCTAACTGGCTTAATTCCACCATTGCATGAACTAACGAAAAAATTTTTTAGACCTAAGTTAAAAGAAATTATGCATCGTCTCCACGCTTAATTTTATACTAGCTACGATCATTTTCACTTGGAACAAGTTGCTGCGAGAGAATAAGGTCAATATATTTATGTTCTAGGCAACTTTTATCCTTTTGATCTGTAGACAAATCTTTTCTCAAATTTGTCTGGAATTCATTGACGTGCTGCGTCATGTTCAGTTCTTGCCACGCTTTATAAAAAGCCTGAAAAGTACAGAAATATTTAGATGATGAATAGTAGTTGTCAATAAGTACATGAATTATCGCCGCAATATTCATTGTTTTTTGTTGAAGGCTCATCAGGATTCGAAATTAATAATGAATTTGACCATCCGTTAGAAAATTATTTCTTCAACACATTGAACAAATACGAGTAGGGCAACATGGGGCAGCGCCCTTTTTTAAACTAAATTTTTGATGAAGTTTTAATTGATACGACTTACGAGGTGGTTCTTTGTTTTGTTTAAAGGTACAACTAATGAGGAATGTATGATGTGAATTAGACGCATATAGAGTTATTCAATTTTTAATGAAACCCTATTTTGTAAAAAGGGTCAAAATGGGCCCATTGCCCCAACCCTGGGGCAATGGGCCCATGGGCTTGGGGCAAGGCGCCCACCCTTGGTCCCTTTACCACAATTGCATATTTTTCGTTTAAAAATGATAAAACAACACTTTACAGTTAAAAATAAGAAAAATGTAATAAAAAATATGACATTCATTTATTTATTAACAACTCAAAAAAATCATATCCTTAACTTGAAAAAATATACCCTTGGCTTAAAAAATCTATCACTGACGTGAAGAAAAATATTTCATTGACCTAAAAATATATATCCTTGACTTGAAAAAGATATCCTTGCGATAAAAAATTCGTCCTTGACATGAAAAAATGTATCCTTGACTAGAAAAAATATATTTAGCTGATCAGAAAAAACTTCGTTCCAGTTTCGTCCATAATCAAGATATTATGTGCAGAGAATTCGTACCGAATCGTGATTTCAGGAAACACCACAAAAACTCATCAACTTTTGGCTCATTGGTGTTGACTGAAATCAACTTGTGGCATGGCAAGAGTCAATAACTCGACAAGGGGTCATAAATGCGCATAACTAGAAACTAAACCTGCTTGCTGCCTTGAGGCGGCAAATCAAAAAAATCATGCAATATGAGGAGTAATTTGTAATTCAAAAAGCTAGTCATAGTTTGAAAAGGTATTGAGGCAAATCTAATGATTTATAACACAAGACTTCAACCATGGGCGCTTTGCCCCGTGACATGCGTGGGCCCGTTGCCCCACTAGGTATCATTTCAATTTATATCGTGTCAACATTTTATTTTAAAAGCTAATAGTCTAAACTTGATCTCAAATTATCCCTATAAATATTACTTTCAAAATAAAATTCACAGTAATTTCAAAAGCTTCATCTACAGTAATCGAAAACAGTTTTATTTAGCAGCAAAAAATTTTTATCTGGGCTAAAACAGTTATTCACAAATAACTAAATAACGCAAACACTTAGCGAAACGTAAATCCGTACACTTCATCCCAGTGAAACTGTCGACCGGCGGTAGAGCGCACGTCCCAATATCTGCCATACTTAGCGAGAAACCCGCTATGGGCCCATGACCCGCAGTGGGCTCGCTGCCCCATGTTACCCTATTATTAATTATTTATTCCTGGCTGTCTCCTAAAATGAACATGAATTATGAATGAACTTATAAAATAGTTATAAAATCAAACCTATAAAGAATAGAGTAGTCATTAGCATAATTATTTTAAGGGAGAGTAGCCAACATTAATTTCAACATTTAGTGCCACCCAAAACTTGCGTGTTAAGAAGCGCTATAAGAAAAATTTATGAAGGTAATTCTGAGTCCATTTTCTCAGTTAATAAATCTAGACGGGAAAACTAAACCTCTTCTCTCAGAGATATTCGAATTTTTTGACGGTACCCGCCGTAACCATTTCACTGCTGAAGCGAATTCTTTTTACTAGGCCTTCAAAGACGAATAACATTATTCTGCACACATTGGAGAAGTGAAGACCAACCCTTTGTTTACTGATGTTAAATACAGTTCCGAAGACTTAAGATACCATTATCGTCGACGACGTTTTATTAAAACCCTAGACAAGTGGTATTCATTAAGAGAATATATGTAGTGTAAGAGTTAACGTTTAGCGGGCCCACGACCCTTGCATCACCGGCACTCGTGACCTGATAGGCCTTTACTTTTAAACGGGAATGCTTAAAGACAACGGTAATTTCTTTACTAAATACATTAAAAATATGGGTACGCTACGCAATCTTTCAGCATACGTTTTCCTGAGCTCTATGTGTACTGCATAATCAAGATTCATAAAAAAAACACATGAAGCTAGGAGCCACTTTGTCTTTAAATCTTGATAAGATTAGGTTCAAAATACATTTGAAATTTTTAGGTAAATAAGATGCGTGAAAATGTATGTATGTTAAGGTGCATAGCCATGCAATCACTTCACAGAAAAAGACCACGTATTTTCCTGAACCACATTTCATGTCTGTCAAAATTTTACTTCAACATTTGGCTAGTATGTATACGTTTTTAAAACAGATAACGGTGTAAGTTTCAATAATCATTAGGGCAAAGAAAAAAACTTCCGTTTTATTGGATATCACATTTTCATATTGAAATTAAAGCTGTATTTAACTTCTAAACATTAGTGGCAGACTTGTTGATAAGAAGATAGACGAGTGGTCACGAGAGAGCTATTGAACTTTGATAACTTGGTACTTTTACATTAAATTTATCAACTAATTAGCTGGATATAAAATACATTCAAAGATTTATTTTATGTTTAAAACAGATTTCAACTCACTATGAATTTTCCATCAGTATAGAAGCTCCCCCCGCTGCCATGGACGGTCTTCGAGCCTTCATTCATCAGTTTAGGACAGGCACGAAGATTTTTTATTTCACAGTAAAAAGGTCGCGCCATCCACTCGCATATCCAAGTGGGTAGAAATGAGCCTTGAACTGTAATGAAAAATCACGAGATAGAAACCCGCAGTCAATGAGAGACGCTAACAGTGATCACGCCACCCGTAGCTATAAGTCTTCGTTCGTTAGAACATGAATATTCCATGCTATGTCGATTAGAAATCACTTTATCTCCGGAAATTTGCAGCATGGTATAGGAAAAGAGGCTTGTATTAATCATATATCTAGAAAGAAGTAATAACATTTTCGAGTGGAATTTATAATGAAACTTGGTGGCGGCAGCCTATTAATTGTGACCTTCACGCTCAAAAATGCTAGTCCTGTGAAACCAGTGCAGAAAATCAAATTTTCGAGGTAGGGCAATAAAAAGGCAGTGGTATGGATAATGGTCGAGGAGTGACCATGGAACTAACACAGTGTATGTGTCAACAGGCCTATCTAGCAATAAATTTTCTTGAAACGTTGAAAATAATTTTAACCATTTTTACTTATTCGGATTTGATTGTCTATAGGATAAGTCTCTTTCCCTTGCATCGAATGTAAATTATCGAGATTAGCAATATCACCGTTTTTTGCAGGATCGAATGCGACTAATAGTAATAGATATCAGTTTACTAACCCTATTTTCTTTTTCCCTAATGTGACTCACCAATTAACTCCGCTAATACTAATTTTTTCTTTTCGTTGGCTTGATGAATTTATTACTACAGTAAGACCTTGAAATTCTCCCAAGTACAACATACCCAAACTTCGTTAATGGAAATCAAACCAAGGCCATGCTGCAATCACCACCTTTGACGGCGAATAGGCGTAGCCCAGCCGCGACGCTATAAGAAATTAATAGTTTTCAAAGGTTCTTGCTCCTCAAATATGGGGCCGCTAATACTGCGCTCAATGCTAGTGGGACTAACCGCTGAGCTAAGCAGTGGCTCACAACAATGATTGAAACAATCAACACTTCTCACTGCTTGTAAAACACGTTGCTTGAGCGACCGTTGTGGTTTTCAACACCTAGTGATAAAAGCATCATTATTCACGGAGTCTGTTTTATTAAATCGCCAATTTACGTCTAATAAAAAAATCCAGGTAAATTAGCGATACTTTTATTGAAATTTAAATCGAGCGTGTTTAGCGTGTTAAGCTGTCTTGTGTCATGAGACGTCGACTCACCTTGGCGAAAAAGATGTTGAGTATATCTTGATCACCAAATTTTAAATAATCGCTGTATGTAACCGTAATGTTGAGCACTTGGTCCTCCCAGCCTCCCGGGAACTGCCTCATGCGGGTTAAATTCATCAGAAGCAAACCTGCGTTAAACCCCATATCTGTCATCCGAACCTCCTGCAAAAATAAGAAGCTATTCAGCCGGTCAGCTTGATGTATATCCCGATGAGAAACCCCTCTACACTCATTGCGGTTGCAAAGTAAGTCATAAATTCAGCAAACATTTGTTTTTCAAGTTGTTACACTCGTGGAGAAAAGATGGAATTCCAACCACATATAAGTATATCATTATTTCATTTGCTTAGATATGTTAAAAGCAGCAAGAGTATTAAAAATATTTATGTATTCAGCCGTTTATATTAGAAGAGAGCTTTGCAAATTGAAATAAACTTGACCTAAATAAACATTGTGAAAGTTAAATTTCACAGTCATTCTTGAATGAGATTATTCGAAACCATGTACAGTAATACCCATCTATGCAAGTGAGCATAGTTAAAAGCTTAATTTTCAAAATTGACTGACTTTCTGAAATATCATACTGATGCTTACAGCTAGCAATAGAAAATATGCAACATGCTTTCTATACAAAGTTCTTTCACCTCCGGTATATAATTATAATCTCGTTTGTCAAGAGCCGCGGCGGCAAACTGGCGTTCGCCGAACTCGCTGAAAATTTGCCAGAGTTCTTCAGGCGGGCGCAGGAAGATGACATCGCTGTCCATGTAGAGGACGGCGGACTCCTCCGGCAGCAGGCGCAGCAGGAAGAGTCGCTGAGACGAGCAGGGGCGGAAGAGGCCTCTCATGTCCTCGTGCCCCGGCGGGTACCACGAGGCCACGAACTGCAAGTGTTCGAACATGGTGGATGTAACTTATCAGTTGGAGCTTCTCTTACATGTTTGTAGTAGAGATATAATATTAGCGTTTTTATCAACTTCCGTCCAACATGGGGCCTTCCTATTGCTGTATAGCGGTGAACAGATGGAGAGAAACGGAAAATATATTTATCTCTAGCCTCAATATTTTCTCTCAGCTTTGGAGAGCGCAGGACATTCCTTCAACTACCAGAAATTATTTTATTCTTCTATAAAAACAACATAAAAGATATTATTCAACATAGAACCTGAAGTGAATTGAAATTACACTCTGAATAATTACGAATTATTTTACACATAATATAATGGCAATTGCAGGTATACCATTGCCAAATACACTCCTAGATATAATAATATCATTACAGTTAGTTTTAATGCGGAATTAATCAAAGAATTGTCACCTGAAACGAGCTTCTCTCTCTGTAGGCCGTTGGCCAGACCTTAGTGGAGAATACGAGCTCGTTGAAGATGGCTTGAGAGTCGCTCACGATATAGAAACTGAGGACCATTCTTCCATTAGTCAAGGCCTTACGCCATTATTGCAACCCATCAAGTATTTTACTCCAGATTTTGATAATCTTAGTTTTATTAAGGGTTAGCTTTCATCATGGTTTCATTCGTTCAAAAGAAACAGTGGAGATCGAAAGAATTTAATTCCTGCTTTTTAAGCTGATATGGGTTTGGAAAAATATTCCATGTTCGTATAATAATGTGCTTCACTGTGTGGTTTATCGAATATCATAGGTCATGATTGCACATTGAATACTACGTAAATGACTGCTACAAAGAAATAGATTAAAATAACTCATTACATGATCTCACCTAATACGCCGGCGTGACAGAAAAATTGCCGCTTTGATAGACACTTTAGCTTGCTGTACCTGCCTGTCAGTTGAGTCCACTAGAGTCTTTGAGTCGCCTGTTGAAAATACTTCATTTGCAATTCACATAATAATAATAAAATAATAATAGCGGTTTTAGCGTTTATAGTCCGTAGACCTGTCGCATATTCTTAACATCTCAGAATATTTACAGCTTGTTGCGGTTTCGAACGCGCAACTCACCGCTACAATTCTGCTGTGCTTAACCGCCCGGCCTCCTTACCGATTCTGACCAGAAACTGGCGCACAGAGCTGGGATCGAACCCGCGCCTCTCTGCGCCAATCTTGGTACTCTGAACTGTAACCACTGGGCCACCCTGCATGAATTATCTTCCCAATTTTGCGACAATCTCTGTAATTATAACCATGGATCGTTTGGAAACAAAAATTGATTAATAAGATAACCACAGTAATACGGTATGAGAATATTAATTACAGATAAAATTGCAACAATCAACTTAAATTTCCGTATAGCGAGAATAGATTTGGCTGCACGAGTGGATATTAATTTCCTATGTTTAATATTTTTCCAGCGTTCAATACTCACTGCTGCACACCACGAGCATAATCTTTAACTCGTCCAATATTTCCAGGTCTTTGCTTGATTCTGAAGGAAGAATATAATATACTAAATTGTTTAATCGTATAGCATTGTTTTTGTTAATCGAAAAATGTAGCTGACTTTACAAAAAGTCAAAATCCACATTGGCTGACAGAACTGCTGCACGAAAGTCTATGAACTTGCGGCACTGAAACTATACAAACGTGCGTATGAAACGTGCTCATAATAATATGAATAATTTTATATACATAATGCTAATCAAAACGAGACACATGTTCCGCTTGAGTTTTACTTCGACTCATGAATTGTTACACAATGATTTACTACAAATAAATATTTCATAGTTTGTAATTATTGCCTGACGCATTCTGCGGTTTGCAACAGCAACAACACAAATTTAAAATCAGTGCTAGACCGCCACATTATGCCAGGACAAACTTACATTGGCATGGTCACACATAAAACATTATATGAAGTCAATACTCTGCAGACCTGATGCGTATAGCGGACGCTGGAGATAAACCGTGAGCAGCAGGAGCGCGGACGCGGCAACCACCAGCCGTAGCAGCGCTTCTGCTCGCCGGCTGCTCAGTCCCTGCTGCACCGATCGTAATATATCCTTCGCAACCCTCATGATACCTTCAATAACTTGCGCTGCGACTTCAACCTTGAAACATAGGACAAGATTGGCAATTTTTAATTCCTTCATGGATGAAATCTGAGAATTTTTGTAAAAATCCAAAAAGGAAACTCATTTCAGTGAAGTAATAAACATTAGAAAAAAGTTGTGTAATCGTGATACTGAATTAATAGTAGTTGGAGCCTCGTAGAGACTACTTTTGAACTGGGAATATGAAATGAGCTAGCCTTTGCACTTAAAATAGTACGAAATTTACGTAAAATTTTATTTTATGATTCAATATCTCAATATTAATAGCCGGGAATTTAGTCACCATGAAAGAATGCACGCACTTCGGGAGTTTAACCAGATGGTCACAGCTGTTGCCTCGAGTTAGAAAACACTTTTCAACAGTCGGAATCGTGAAAATAATCCTATGATCGAAGAATTTAGTTCCATAGATACTATTATTCAAAATTCTGCTGCTAATTTTTCACGTGAGTTGTATTAATATAAAAAACTGTCAAACCGACATAGTAGGTATTCCATTTCAACATCCCATCGAAGTTCGATGGAAATTTCCTCTTGTTCATTTATTCAAACAAAAATTGGATTTACTGTGCGACTGCGCGGAAACAAAGGTATACAATTTTCATTAATTGCCGCCCCACTTCCCTTGTTTTTCAATTACCGGATATTTCATAATGATCCATATTTTTCTGGTGTTACGCGGAAGAAACTGCCGATTACCCACAAATATTATTTAAAATTCTCCTGTCTTCAGAAAAACACCCCAAAAAACATGCGAAAATATTCATTCGATTTATGGATTCTTGGAAATACAATTTAGGATCAAAAATGTACAAAAAAATAGCTTATATTAGAAGCAGTCGCCTCTTGAGGCCTACTGGTTCAAATACGACAACGTAGTATATTACGTGAAGACGAGAAATTTACATGATGTGTGGATAGTTTAGTCTACACTTTACAATATCATCGTTGCGATTAATGTTACAATAGTAATTAGATGTCTATGAAACTCAATAAACGTTCGACTTGATAATTCACAATTTTAGGCACACTTCTGCATCAATCCCTATGTTCACTAATTTTTTCTGGTGTTCGGTCAACTTTATAAAATTCATAACGTGTCCGTTACCGAGAGAATACACGTTTCTCCCGAGAGAATCATTACACTACTGGTGTACAGTAAACCACTTGATCAACCTATAGAATAGACAACACTTGTGCACATTACGCTGCAGGTGTGTGCTTACAAAGACCTTGATTATACATAACATAACATAATATAACATAATATAAATAACATAACATAGTGATGTCGGCGCTGAAGAGTAGGCCTGCAGGGGCCGGATTATCAAAACATCGCTAAGTACACGTAGCGACTTACGTATGGCGTAAGTGCTGATATATGAAGACGTAACTCTAGCGTCGGTATTATCAAAACATTTGGGCGGGAAGCTACGTACAAGAAGCCGTACGTAGCTCTACGCCTGCTCGGAGGTGTCGTAAGTGGAGTTACGTAGACGTTTTGAGTGTGCCGAAGCAAAATAAAACTATTGATTTACTTGCAACACGGTGAATTGTGATAGAATTTTGTCAATAATTCAACATAGGCATAATATGTGATCGTGCTAAACGGTGCTTTTTGAGAAAAAAATTTCAATTAGGTAAGTTATGCCAGCTAATTTCTTTTCCTTTTGTGCTATAATTTGCAAGCAAATCTTGATATTCGTATCTAAGAGTTTTATGATCATTCACTAAAATAATATCTTCATGACTTTTGATTCAAAACTAAGTGGAGTTTGACAAGCCAACCATTTTTCTAGCTACGTACACAAATTCCTTTCTTTCTCAGCTGATAGTTGAACTCCAACTCACAAAATGTTCTAAATTCTAGGTAGCTCTCTAAAAAGTCCTCAAATTTTGAATGGGAAAAATGTGAACCTATCACTAGTTCATCTCATCTATTCCCGCTTCTTCTCCGCGCCGCCTATTGGCGGGAGATTGTAATTTTTTGCCTTGATTGCAAAAAATTACAATCAAGGCGTTGTCACTGCTATTTAGACAACGTCTCACTCATTTCTCCATATGCTCCCTAATCAGTCAACGCAGATGACGCTGACACAATACAACCTGCTTTCATCCACGCACACTGCATACAGAGTCGACAGGAGCTAGGAATGGCAAATTTGAAGCCTCTGATTGGTCAGTTAGTTGGATGGTTTCGATAATACCTTTTCAGATGAGTCTTGCGTGAGACAGTTTTGTTAATGCCAAATTTTGACTGACTTACGCAATACGTAACTTTTTGAACGTAAGTACGAAAAGTTACGTGGACTTAGCGAAGTTTCGTTAATCTCTGCCCTGATATTGTGGCCTGTCGCCGATTACTGTATTTTTCATGACTTGTTCACAGAAGATCTAAAAGCATGTCCTCTAACCGGATCTTTTCAAGACTGACGATAGTTTGAAATAGCTACAAGACTTCCACCGGATTCGATATGGTGCTAGGCATTTCAAGTCTGCGCATATATTTTTCTATAGCTTTATCTAGTCTGTTCTTGAAAGCGTTCATACTCGGAGCGTCAACGATGTGATCGGGGAGGCTGTTCCACATGTCGGTGATTCGAAGCGAAAAGAAATCTTGTCGCGTAGTTGAGCTGCAACGCAGTTTCTTTAGTTAATAGTTGTGGCTCTGGTGTTGGTTCTTGTATCAAATTCTATTAATTCATCTGGGACCTTGTATAAACCATGAGTATACTTGCATACTTGTAAGGGAAATTCACCATTTCTTTAGGATTTCAGTTTGTAATTTGTTTTTGTGTCGTATGTTCTACAGCTGCGGGTAGGGTTGGCAACCATGCCATACGCTGACGTGGCATAATTTTTTAGCGCATTACCTGCCTGAAGCCCGTTTAAGCCCCGTCCACACGCTCAAACTTATCGTCAGTCTAGCATGTCATGCCAGGTTTGACGTCAAGACGGAGCGTATGGACGCTCAAAGTTTGACGTCTTGCACGACGGGTGGGCGGAGTTTGAGGTTTGACAACCCTGGAAAAGAGTCAAAAGACGGACGGGCGAGACCTTTGGGTTCATGCAAGACTGACGATAAGTTTGAGCGTGTGGACTAGTTGAAGTTCTTCTTCTCATTCGATTGCTGCCACTTGGTCGGAGCGTACCTACTGTGTACCTCTACTTTAATGTTCGAGTTTTGAACATAGTATTTGAATTCTTTGTATACATTCGTGTGTTGTGTTTAAGGAAATTGCTCCATAGTATACTATTGTTAGTTATAGTCTTGCTGACCATCATTGTTCGGCAGGACCGACTCTTTGCCCGGCTAGCTATAAAACGGCTATTAAAGCCGACCTCAACGGTATTTCCCAAACTTCAGTACTTGCACCAGTCGAGTCTCAACCCGAGTTCAGTAGTCATTGCTGTGCACCATCAGATCAGACCAGTGCCCCATCGTGTTGTGCACCATCAATGCAGGCTCCATTGTCGCTGTGTGGTGTGTACCATCCTTGCTGTATCAACTATCTCATGCTCAGTTTAAGTCGTTCTGAATTAGCTTTAGTTACTAGGACCTTTTCAACCATTCTTCTTGTCAGTATTCAATTAGCCTCTTTTGTTCAATAAGTATTTTTTTATTATGCTTTCATTTCTCCCTTGTTGAGGATCGGTGGCAGTTTTGGTTTAATTTCCGGATCTAATCGGAGTCGTCCTTACTTGAACCTTACAATACTTCAATGAGATCCTCACGCAGACGTCGATAAAAGCGGCTTGGAAGCTTCATAATCTTTAATTATCATCATAGGACTTGCCCTCCAAGCCTGGAATTATCCTTGTTGCACGTCTTTGAACACTTTCTATTAAATTTTTGTCTTTTTAAAGTCTCGGTGGTCACACGGCGTTTCCTAACTCTAATTATGGGCGCACGACAGCAACAAACAACGGGAGCGCAGCCGTGGGTAACAAAATTGACTCGTAAACAGGCCCTGGGCCCAACGCCAACCATCAGCGTGCAATATCTACACATAGCCTCAGATCAATGAGCTATGGATAACTCCTGCTAACAGTAAATCCGCTTTGCACAACACAGCCACTGCTTCACAGCGCCGGAGCCCAACTGGCCGAAGCGCAACAGGCCCAACCGCAACAGGTGGCGCAGTTTAGGTTAGGTTAGGATAGGTTACGTTAGGAGTAGCTGTTGCGGTAGGGCCTGCTGCGCTCCGGCCAGTTGTGCTCCGGCCTGGATGCGCTCCGACCTGTGACTGAACTGCGCTGTTGTGGTGGGCGCTTTGTGTCAAAAGCCGTGAAGGTGCCCGGCTGCGTTACGCTCGGGAAGGTATATGAATCGCACTGTGGACTTGGGCTATGCTGACCTCTAGCTATCCACCCCAAACAACTGCTCCATCGCTTCTGCATCTAGGAACTCGTAAAAGCGTCTGATCAGTCCAAGAAGTTTGTTGGATTTATTAGCTTGCGTTTCAACATGCTTAGAAATTTAACTCTTTGTTGTCAGCAGGAACTTCCAAATCTTTTCCCACACTAGACTTTTCATTCATTACTCTCTCATTGTAACCATGTCTTCTCATACTCGAATCTTGCTGTTCATTGTTCTTCCCGAGGTAAAGTACTTTACATATGTCAGCATTAAACCGCATCTGCCACGTATCAGCCCAGTTAACTAAACTGTCAAGGTCATCTTGTAATTGCGCTTTATTTTACGCATCCTTCACTGTATTATAAACTTTTGTGTCGTCGGCATTCATAGAGCACACGCTGGAGACTGCTTCTGGCAAATCGTTTATAAAAGCAACGAACAAAATAGGCCCAAGAACGCCTCCTTGTGGCACGCCACTGCGCACTGATGCCCAGTCTGACACGGTTCCGTTAATACTGACACGTTGTCGTCTACCTACTAGAAAATCTCTGATCCATTGGAGTACGTTTACCTCAATTTCCAAAGACTTCACTTTATGCAACAG